TCTTTCTGTTTGTTTGTTTGTTTGTTTGTTTGTTTTTGTCTTTTTTTTTTTTAAGGAGAGCGCCCAGTGCTCAAGGCTCATATTATCCAATGAATACAACAGCATACACACACCTCTCCCCATCACGGCTGGAACGGCCAAAGCCATCACTCATCCCTACATCACCAGAGAACAGCAATTTCGTCAAAACGGACATTTTATTTTTTAAACGAAATTGAAACCTCATAAATTAGCCCGATTTAGGTGGAAATTTCAAGCTCTTGAGGGTCCGGCATCCTTAAAACGCCGGACCCCTTGGATGTATCTGGACTTCGCTGGAGTCCAGAGGGTACGGCGTTCCGAAAACGCCGTAAGTACGACGTTTTTACCCCCTGGATGTAACTGGGCTCGCATGCAGGGGGTAGGGCGTTTTCAGAACGCCGTACCCTCAGGAGCTGAAAATATCGACCTACATCGGGCCGATTTTTGAGTTTTCAATTTCGTTCAAAAAATAAAAGATGTCCGTTTTGACGAAATTGCTGTTAGAGGAGAGAGGCATTGATTGCAACTCCGAAAGGAAGGATTAACCTCTCTTCTCCTCTCTCATAAAACAGCTATGACATTATCAACCTGCGTCTTCATGGGACCAAGTTCAAATATTACCTGCAAACCAGTAATCCTCAATACTCCCTCTCCCTGATCTCCAGAAGACAAGAGGCTAGAAGACAGAACCGCCACTACCATCATCCAACCCTTGTTTCTATGAAGCGCCACAGAACCTTGCTCGCACACTGGCAGTCCATGTGAGCAAAAAGAGGTGGGGGGTCATCCATAAAAGGAAGGGCAAAGGTATGATACTCGTTAGCTCTACGTACCAGTGCTGTCACCACTTCCACATGAAAAATCAACCCCTGAAAGGCGATACACATCCAGGGAGTGAGGAAATTCTTTAGAGCACGGTTTGTGGGTGATGCTGCAATGGATCTACCTTTGTTGAGTCAGGGCACCCTGGCGCTCCACTCAGGGGAAGATGGTAGCCCTGCTGTGCATTCAGCAGTTTTGCAGGTGGTGCCCTTGCACGTGAATTAGCTAGTTTTGCAGCTTTTTCCTTGTACCAGTTTGTGCCACTGATGGATCAGCTGAAAGGTTAAGAAGATGCTAAACAGGTTGTAAGCCCTGACACCTGCAGTAGAAACAGGCAACAGCATCTCACTTAGGCCATTGGTGATTTACATGGAAAGCTAAGAATGATTCACCACTAAATACCTTCAGGACCATCATTGAAATGCCCCCAGTGGCCCAAAAAAAAAAAAAAAAAAAAAAAAAAAAAAAAAAAACCAGTGGAAGGAGTATGGCAGGTCAAACGTCTATGGTCCGAGGAGCAACAGGACTGGCTATCCAACCAAGAACTCCGGACTCCCCTGAAAGGCTGTCACTCCATGAGCACCAACGTAGCGGAAATCCACAAAAGCATCCCCCCTATGGACGTCCCTCCTAAGCGAGAAATACACGTGGAAACCAGGAGATTGGGGCCTGCCCATCTCCCGGACCCCTCCAGCAAGAGCCTACCGCTTTGTATCAAGAACAGATCCAACCAGCTACCACGCCAACTTCACATCCTACCCCATCACCAAACGCAGTCTGTACGAATTAGAAGCTCAAAACAATGCACCACAGAACGAATGGTAGAAAGTTAGAAACCTTCTTGCTCAGGAAGGCCAGAGTCTCCCACAGTAAGGCGTGGATCATCTTCCACCCTGAACTAAGAATTGAGGAGCTCGAATTCGACCCAAAGGAGTGGTTATGGGAGCAGGGCACCACCAGGAAGTCAAGAACGATGACGGAATACGATGTAAAGTTTGGGTACGACCTCGGACTGCAGACCACAGACCCGAACCCCAGGCTGGTGGAGAAGTGGAGAAACATCCTTCACTTAAGACTGTGCAACCTCCCTCACCATCCCGTGGAACAAATATCTTCTCATCAGACCAATCAGAATTCGTAGCATGCAGTGGCTCATAGCACAAGTAGCCCTCCCTGTCAACCAATGGCTTCACGAGAGAAGGAAACACTCAGACCCAGATAGCTCAGCATCCTGCGCGCTGTGTAACAACAACGTACCCGAAGACATCCCCCACTGCCTTCTCTTCTGTTCGGAAGCGACCTGGATCTGGAACAAGCTTCCGGAACTTCGGTCGATCCTCTTCGCAACACCACCCCCGTACGTCCCCCCTCTAACTATCCTACTCTTCGCTAACACCCCTAGCAACATCAAGGGCAGCAGGGAAGTTTGGTTCAATCTTCTCAGGAAACTGGCACTCTGGGCCTGGTACGACCTCTTCCATCTCATCTTGTTGTCTGTAAGGGTGGTGACCTTGCCCTTTAGTAGCCAGTCTCTCGGGAATGTGCGTCTCTTGCTTGCTTGTCTTTCTGGTCTGTGTTTCATAGAAGCCACTATCTTTCGCTATCTGCTCTGGATTTCAGTCTCCACCATACTCAGCAATAGGGACCACATTTCTTCCCATGTCACCTCTGCTCCCTCGATTGTCCATGTGCATCTGCCAGCCACGAGTTCATGTCAAGCCGAGATCCCCAGGAAGAGGCAATATTATGATGAGCAACAGCAGAGACAGTCGGACAAGCGAGAGATGAGGAAGACTCAGAAACAACAACTGGAAGCGGATCCTCCCACTTTTCTTGTTTTGCCTAGGTCTACCTGACAGGTCCCAGGTGGAGCCTGAGAGGAACAAGTGGGCAGGGCAAGCTGACAGTCAATCCTCCTCCAGGGGAGAAATCAATGCTCGTCAGGGGTCCTNCTCTCTCTCTCTCTCTCTCTCTCTGTGGTAGCCACCCCCCCTCCCTCTCTCTCTCTCTCTTTCTTTCTCTCTCACTCTATGTCTCTCTCTCTCTCACTCATATCAACAAATGGAACAAAACTCTCTCTCTCTCTCTCTTACTCATATCAACAAATGGAACAAAACTCTCTCTCTCTCTCTCTCTCTCTCTCTCTCTCTCTCTCTCTCTTGTGCGAGCTCTTAGTCTCATTGCTTTGGCTACCTTAGGGCTGCGTTCCCCGCGCCGCGATAGACGATTGAGTGACTCTTAGATTCAGGAGGTGTACTGGACGCTGGTGTGGGAAGTAGGAGGGGGGGTACTTGGGAGTACTAGTCCGAATATGGTGTGTGATGAGGTGAGACGAATTCGAGGGGTGTGTTTTAGGTGGCGCTGGTGCGGCGTCCTCGTGGGGTGGCTGGGGGGATCGACGGGACAATTTTTATTATTATTATTTTTTTAATTTAACGAATTATTTTATCCGCGATTCTCGCAGGTAATGTAGTTTCTGCAGGCGTTGGTTGTGGGGATGTAGATGGTGGGGGGATGAGGGCGGAAAGTAGGGGTTGTTGGGCGGATAGTTAGGAGGAGGGCGGTCTGAAGGGGGTGATGGATCGGGGTGAAAGACAGCCCTGTGGGGTCAAATTTCTACAGGGGCTAGCAGGGCGAGGAGGGTGGGATTGATGGAACTAATGGAGAGGTTACGGGAGCTGGACAGCCCCGAGGTGACAGGGTGGGATCGGAGCGTTAGAATTGGTTGGTCGTGAGGGGGTAAGTGGAGGTTCAGGCGCAATATCGGGTTCAGAAGGGAGGTGGGTCTCGGGGGTGGGGGGATTTTATTACATGGGTTTAAAATTTTAATGGGTTAGCGAAGGGGGGGGGCGAAAGGGTGAATAGGAGTGAACGGTGGGGTAGGGCAATCATATTTACTGACAGGTGGCGAGGCGGGGTTAGCTATTGGCTTTCGTGGGCGGTATGGATAGGCGAGAACATTCGCTGGTTGGACTGGCGGGTTAGGTTGGGATCGAAGGGTAGTGGAGATTTAGGTATGGGTAAGAAGAGAACGGAAGACGACAGGTGTGAGGGTCGACGGGCAATTAGGTGCTAAACGATCTCATTTCGAATTAGTATCATCTTTCGATTGCAGTCTTTGTCCTTCTTTCAAATAGTGTGTCTTGTTTTGTTCTTAGAATAGGCTTGTTTTGTTCTTAGAATAGGCGTGGTTCACCACTCATTGCTTTTCTTGTCGACTGTCGATGTCATTATGATGATGTCGATGTGCCAATATATTGGTCGCTGAGTTGGGAATCTTCTATCCGTCCTGAAGTCTCGTGGGGAGGCCAGCGATCCTCTGAGATCTACTACTCCGACTGCCTGAGACAGCCAGAGACGGGCGACGAGCTACCAAGCTGCTGCTTGATGCTAGCAGGTGTGCGCACGTTGGAGCTTCTCCACGTCCCGACAGGGCTATGGAGTGCTTTGTCCTCTTCGGGTGAAGAAGTGCGTCGGCATTGCCCGTCGTGTTCGAGGAATCGAAAGTTCGAATGATGGCGCGAAGTCACGGAACCGGCTGCAGGCGCGAGCGGCGTGAGTCGCCGGCGCAAAAAATAGCGCTTGTTGTAGCTCTCACCGAGAGGCGCAAGTGCGACCATTGAACTACTTTCTTTTTTCCTAATCTATTACTACTATTACTATTATTATTTCAGCTGTCACGCAGAGCAGGGTAACAATGGCTGTCTGTGGGATTACCATAACAGATTTGTAGGCTGCGGTGATTTCTGATCAAAAGGAACTACAAAAGATTCTGCCAATGGCTAAGTGAGGTGGGCCCACCGACAACTGTGTTGGTACACCCACACCCACATACCTTTTCTTTTCTGGGTCATACAGCGAGACTGAAAAGAAAAGGAGCGATGTCTAGCGATGGCGGTGCGTTAGCGACGGCGGCGCGTTAGCGACGGCTAGGCTGCGGAGTGCTACTGGTCCGTGCTCTTGGGCACGGACCGGCGGCTGCCATCGTGCTGAAGGGGGGGAAATGCTTCGTGTTCGGCAACTTCAAGGTGTTTCTCCTTAGTAAGGTGGCTGGACTGTGCCCTGAAAGGAATGAAGGGCTGGCTCCTCCAACGGGGGATGGTGTAGACGTGGGGCCGTATCAAGAGGCGCTCTGCGACTGTATGCATCGAGAAGACCGTGAGCCCGGCCAAGCCCGTTGGGCCCTAGGGCCTGTCGATGGTCAGGAGTACTTCAACGCTCCACGATGCTCAATGCGGTTTGACGATCTGACGAAATGAAGGTATACTCCAGTGCTCAAGACTTAAGTGTGGTCTTTGCCTATTTATTGCGGCCTCTCTCTTTTTTTTAGATCTCTAGTTAATATAAGCTCTTGGAGTCGTTAGTTTTATATATCTAAGTTTTCAGGATGGCGTCATCTTCTGCCCCCCCTCCCCCGCCCACCTCTTCCCCCATGTCAGATCAGGAAAGAGTCCGGATCAGGGAGTTATTCGATACTTGTTTCCAAGAAGGGGTTCTGCCGGGCGGTCTCTCCTCTGGTAAAGTTGTCGAAGGGGACGACTGTGTGAGGGTGGTAGTGGATAAAGACGTCTATCAGGTTCAGGTAGATTGGCTGAAGGAGCACGCAGTTACTATTTTCTTTGGTGATGACGCCACCTCTCTTCCCCCGAATGTTAAAAACCGGCTAGTCCGGATTTACGAAAATGGGTGGGCTGCACAGGGCTCAACAGGGGCGCCTCCCAAGAGAGGGGTATTTCGGAACAAAGGCAAGAATCTCGTAACCTACGTTGCTTCCGACTGTCGAATTTCTGCTTGGATGCTGAGAAAGGACAAGGATGTGATCGAAATGGATGAAAAAACCTATTCTGTGTCCTTTCGTCCATGGATGTCAGAGAAGCAACTCTCTGACTGGCGAGTGGCCATGCGCCAGAAAGTTTTTTGGATCAGATGCCTTGAGGTTCCGGTGGGAATTTGGGGCATCCTGAAGGGAGTGGTCCAAGACGCTTTTGGAGCAGTCTTGTTTGACCACCAACCCTTCAAGAAACTCTTATCCCCGGACCTTCGGGACGTCCGGTTTGATTTAGTACCATCGGCAAAATTGCGTTACAAGAAGAAGCTTATTGTTGACCTCCACGATAAAGGGTTTGTTGAGGTAGATGTTGTCTGCGCTGGAACACCCTGGTGCTCGAAGTGCAGACGATATTTCCATAGAGACTCTGACGTGGGGTGTCCGGCCAAGCAGAAAGCCCATGAGAAAAACCCTACGGAGAAAGCTCCCTCTCAGAAGGAGAATTCCCCTGTAAAGGAGAAGGATCCACAGAAGGAGAAGCTTTCAACGAAGGGGATTCTCCTGGAGGAGAAGGAGATAATCTCCTCAAAGAAAGGTCCAGCCCCGGACAAAGAGGACAAGCCTCGATGGGAATTAGTTGCTCGCAACCCTAAGAACGGGCGTAAAAGGAAAATTAACAAGAAATCCTGGAGTCGGAAGGATTCTCGTGGAGGGACCAAGTCTATTCCATCCACGAAAGAGGTATCGTCCAAGGATGATGCCGAGCCGTCGGGTAAATTACCCGAAGTTCGGGGTGATCCTGATGTTCCGTCAAAAGCAGATGACAGAGATCAGGTGTTGGTCAGCGAGGGTGATGAGGAAGGCATGGGAGTTAAAGAGAATAACTCTTATTTGGAGGAAGATGCTGCAAAGGTTGCGGGTGTAGATGGGCCTCCTTGTCCCGTAAAATCGGACTCCGGAGGCATTAACGGGGAAGGGGAAGGGGAGGAAGGGGTGAGGGATGGATTAACTCATAAGGAAGGAGTGGAGAATGTTGTCTCCCCTACCCCGGCCTCTATCCTTGGAGGATCGCAGTCTAAAGATAGAGCAGAGCAACCTATCAAAGAACAGAAAGATCTGTCAAAAGCGGATGACAGCGACGTGTTGATGGAAAGTGATGATGAAGGAGATGAAATGGAAAAGGAGGAGGATGACTCAAGCTTGGTGAACGAAGAAGTTAAGGAGGAGGGTAGGGAGGAGACTTTAAACCCATTTAAATCTGAGCCTGAGCCTGGAAGCTCCCAGGAGGAAGGGAAAGGCGAGGAAAGGGAGGAGGTGATTGGTTTATTACGAAGGAAAAGAGGTGAGAACTCTGGCCCCCCCTCCTCGGCTTTTGTCTTTGGTGGCGAGAAATCCAAGCTTGGGAATGACATTTGCCCCTCTCCCCAAAAACTGGTGGAGGAAGATTCTGAGCATTACATTGAGACTATCCCCATCGAGGTGGTCTCTTCGGGGTCGGACTCGGAGGGGGATAGCTTGCGAAGCCAGACTCATTCGGACGGTACCCCGGATGAGGTGCCGACGGAGGAGGGCAAGTTCTTGGACTTTTCTGTCCCAGGGCTGCAGCACAAGAGGCTTATTACGTATTCCCCAAGCAAGAAAGCTAAAATGAATGATAAATCATCCGTTGTGACGGCGGAAGAGAAGTGCTTGGACAAAACAGAGGATGCCCACTCCCGAGAAAAGGCAAAAAAGAGGAACAAGCCTGGCCGATCGGCCAAAAGTCTCTCTTCTTTGCGGCTCCTATGAAAATGTTAGGAAGAGCGGACGCTCTGATGGACCCCCCTGGGGAATATTTAATTCCATTAGTTGTTTCAGACTCAGACCAAGGACCGATGGTGTTAACTGAGAAAGACTATGAAGAATCTCTCTCGTTACCCTCGATCCAGATCTCAAATGGTATATCTGAGGAAAGGGTGCTGGAACTGACTCAAGCGTACGTACTTAATCATACGGGGGAATGTGCAATCCTCCCTACCCCTCGAATGGGACGCCATATTGCTTCAGCTGCTGATGGTAAGAAGGTTCTCCTTCACATAGCGTTTTTAGGACTAAAATCGACAACTGAGGCCTTTCGTTCTTGGTGTTCTGAGAAGAATTATTGGTATCCGTTGCTCGACTTTATCCAGCCTAAACTGGACGCCCTTCAGACCATCCGGATGGATCCGGGTCCGTCGGCCAAGGAAATCACCGTTTGGCTGCAGCATGTTGATGCGACCTCGTCAATAGCGGATGGCAACTTTAGACTTCTGATCCAGAGGTCAAATCTGATCCAGCTATCTAATTCGATAGGGCCTGCGGAGGCCGTGGCTCCTTCAGTGGAACCAGACCGCGTTTTGAAGTCCTCCTTCGATGACTCTGCCACCTAGAATTAGAATTGTTAGTTGGAATGTTAAAGGCCTAGGCGACACATCAAACAGATTTAAACGACAGCGTTTAGCTGCTGATTTTTACTCTGAGAATGTTCAAATAGTCTGTCTTCAAGAGACCAAGTTAAGTGATGCTAAAATCAGTGAAATTAGACCATGGTGGTCTGGCCTGCAGTTTTGGGCTGCAGCAAATGGTACCAGGGGAGGCACGGCGGTACTTATACACAAAGACTTAGACTGTGCTATCCTGGATCACTATGAAGACCCCGGGGGTCGGGTAGTCTGGGTGAAAATCGCAATTGATTCTGAAGAATGGGCTATTGCGTCTATTTATGCCCCGACGGAATACATCGAAAGAACGAAGTTTCTGGCCAACTTACCGGCGCTTCTTCCTGATGTGGAAAATTTAGCGTTATTAGGAGACTGGAACACAACTTTAAACCCGGGGCTGGACTCTTCTTTGCCCACCCCCTTGAGGACTGATAGTACCCTGTTGCTTTCTCTTCTTGAGGCCCAAAGCTTGGTAGACACCTTCCGTGTTATACACCCAGAGGACAATGGCTTCACATGGCATGGCCCAAGACCCTCAGAAAAGGCTCCTATTCCTCGTAGGCGGTTGGATCTTATTTTGGCTAGGGGCTCTCTTTGGGACAGATGTATGGCTTCAGAATACCGGATCTCAGATATCTCGGATCATTACCCCATTCATATAGACATTGTCTCAAAGGATCTAGTGGAAAAGGAACGCCCTCCCTTCCGTCTTAACGTGAATTTGTTGAAGGACGAGGGCATCCCGAGGTGGGTGAGCGCCCAGATGACGGCATGTATGCAGGCTAAAGATCTGTTTGATTCAGAGGAGGAATGGGCGGAGGTGGGAATAGGAACTATCCGGGCAGCCCTTGTTGAATTTTCAAGAATGAAATCTGCAAATAGAGCTTGGAAAGAGAAATGTTTGTTAATGGAGATTGCTACTGCGGAAGCTAAGATGGGTATTGACCCATTTGAAGAGTTCTATTGGTTAGAAAAAAGAAGACTTGCGTTGGGTTGTCTAGAAGACTTGGAACAACGCAAACAAGCCGAATGGCTTGATTGGTTAAAGCTCAGAGGCATCATTGGGTATGACAGAATGACGAAGATGACCTTTCGGTCTTTGGTCTTGAGACAGACAAAACCATTAATAAGGGAACTTATCCATCCCTTCGATTTAGAAAAGGGACCTGCGAATGACACCCAAAATATGTGTGCCTATGCCCTAGAGTATTTTAGGGACATTGTTAGCTCCCGTACACCTTTTGATAATTTTGATTCAGATCTTTCTGTTGACTCTTCGTTTTGGGACAGGACTACTTCGTGCATTTTTGCGCAAGCTAGGGCCAGTCTTGATTCTCCAATCACAGAACAGGAACTAACCAGAGCCGTTAAAAGGATGGCCACAGGCAAATGCCCAGGGCTTGATGGGCTTCCCGTGGAACTGTTTTCTAGCGCTTGGCCGTCTTTTGCACCTTTCCTTTGTCAGATTTACAATAAAGCCCTGGTTTCGGGCTCCCTTCCAAGGGGTTTTGTCAAGGGCGTGATTTCGCTCCTTTATAAGAAAGGGGATAAGAGGGAAGTCCGGAACTATCGTCCTATATCAGTATTGAATGTCACATATAAAATCTTGGCGAAGACCCTAGCTATCCGGTTAGCAGAGGAACTGCCCCTCCTAGTAGGATGGGAGCAAGGCGCCTTTGTGAAAGGACGGTCGATCTTTGATAATATAATGACTACGGTTCAAGCCCTCGAGGTCATTAATGCAGAAGATAGAAATGTGGCAGTTCTACTTTTGGACATGGAAAAGGCCTATGACAAGGTGGGGTGGGCTTTTGTTACTACCACCTTGTCTAAAATGGGATTTGGCCAAGGTTTCATAAAGTGGACAAGGGCTATGTATGCAGAGGCTGATTCAGTGGTTGTGGTCAACGGAAGATTGTCCGAGGACTTTCACTTAACAAGGTCTTTGAGACAAGGGTGCCCACTGGCCCCTCTACTGTTTGTTCTGCAACTTGAAATCCTCCTCGACAACAATCGTCTAAATCCTAGAATAACAGGACTGACATTGTCTCCTGCCCTCCAGTGGAAAGGAGGAGCTCTAGCAGATGATCTTACACTGGCGGTTCATAACTCTCACTCCACCTTGTTAGAAGTTAAGTTAGTATTAGATGAGTACTGTCTTCTTTCTGAGGCCTCTATAAACTGGTCAAAGTCGGTCTATTTCCTTCCGTCCTCATACACACTTAATGTGGAATGGGGGCTGCGCCAGGTTCCGTCGGATAATTCAGAACGCTTCTTGGGCATTCTGGTCTCCCTATCAGACTGCTCCACCACACAGGACCGTCTTTTAGCAGATAAGGTTACCTCGAGAATCAGTCAATGGTTACGTAACCATAAGCTCTCCTTGTTTGGGAGAGCGCTAGTCCTGTCGTCGGCAGCGTTCTCGCTTCTCTGGTTCCCGCTGTCAATCTGCACGTTAGGTAAGGATGCCTATTCTGCAATCAAGCGGGCGGCAGCCAGATACCTGTGGAAACCAACAGGTGATGAAGATACAGGGTGTATTTCGAAAGTTGCCTGGGAGGTTCTCACTCAACCACGTTCGGAAGGGGGGTTGGGCATCTTGGACCCGTTGGACCAAAATCGGGCCCTACTAGCAAAGTGGGTCATAAGGGCAATGTTCGAGGATCATAATAAGTTATGGATTTTGCTGGCAGAATATATACTGTCGGAAGAATGGTCTCTGAGCAATGCTACTGATGTCTGGCTTTGCTGCTTAATTCCTTCCTTCCTGAACAGGAAATTAAGTCCAAAGTGTGGCAGGGTATTCTTCAGTCTTGGAAGAAATTAATGCCCCAGCAGGTGAAGGACCCTACTACGAGAGAGGAAATCGCCAATCAGATTATTTTTGAAAATCCTTACATCCTCCTGCCTAACAAACAGCAGATCTCAGCGGCTGAGGGGGCAGGAAATTTTGGTAGATCTTGGATTGAGAAGGGGGTTATTCAAGTGAGGCATCTGTGGAACGCCGCGGAAAATGATTGGATGTCCCCAAAGGAGCTGCGTCGCCGACTTCCAAGACTGCACTTTGTGGAGTTAAACTACACCAAAATCAGGGCAGCCCTCCCGTCACACTGGACTTCTGTACTTAAGGCGGGCTCTGAGAATTGCTCAAGGACATGGTTACGCTCCTGTGATGATCAACAAATCATCTGGAAAGTCATAGGTCCGGATCTCCCTACAGGACTTAAGGTTGAGGAATGGAAACCCATCACTAGAGCCTCTTCAGGGGGCGTACTCCAGTACTTAGGGGAACAGTCCGTGGCCTCTACGAAAGACTGTTCGGAGGTTAGAGTCCTTTCATCTGATGACAACAAACATTCCTCCTTATTAGGAGAGTCAGCCGCCTTCCGAGTGGAGCCTGCCCTTCTTGGCTGGAAGAATGTCCAGCAGAGCGATCGTAAAGTCGCAGTTCTCCCCTTGGTGCGCTATTCTACTAAGCAAGGAGTAAGATGCTTCCGACAAATCAGACTCAGATCTCCTAAATCGCTGCCAGAGAAGAGATTCGCAAAGATGAAGGGGCCTCTGGCGATACAACCAGAATGGACAAATCTGTGGAGAGCCATTTCAAGAATCCCCTCCCAGAGATCAGCCAGTCTTCTCTGGCTCCAGTCGCTAATGGTCGTTCCAACAGCACTACGGTTGTCCCAAAAAGGCATGACCCTACCCATCACATGCACGAGGTGTGATTGGGGATGGGAGTCCAACTCACATCTGTGGGCAGAATGCCCACTGTCTGATGAAGTCTGGCAATGGTGGCAGGACTCATGGAAATCATTGACGAACAAAACCTTCCCCTGGGGAGACGAGTGGATCATCTATGGAATCCTTCCCTCCCCCGCAGTCAAGCTGTATGAGGGGTGGGGTTATGTGGCACTGGTATGCAGAGGCGTTATTTTGCAGGAAATTTGGCGGGCCCGTAATGCTAAAGTATTCAAAGGTGAGCGCCTCCCCCTGCTGCAACAACAAAGACAAATAAAGAATGATATTAGGAGTATGATCAGGGCGGATTGGAAAGGAGGAGTAGGCCGCCCTAGGAGGAACTCCTATTGGTTTTATAAAACCTGGGCACGTGACAATAAGTTTGCATCTGTCTCTGCGGAAGGGAAAATGTTGATTTCAAGTTGGCTAAGTCCAGCGTAGTTATGCCTTTGCCTCAGTCAGGATTTGCCTGGAAAAGGCTTGGTGCTTAAGGCGGTGGTCGAATTTGACTCCCTGGGATTATAGCCATAATTCCTTCTTCCTTCTGGTAGGATGAGTTCATACTTTTCATGTCTACACAGATGCAAAAAGGTAAGGTGGGGATAGGATGATTTTGCCAGTCTGCGTTTACGGGTCTGTTGAAGGGACTCT